CCACTCCCCTCCAGGTGCTGGTTCTGAGCTCCCAGGAAGGCAGGCATAACATCACAGACAGGTGGAGCTGTTGTCCTTGGAACTCTGGAAAGAAAAGGCTCATTAATGAGGAGCAGCTTTTGATCCTGCACACTGAGAGGTGCTGTCCCTGGGGGCTGTGTGTGCAGAGGGTGAGCAGGGGTGCGGGAGGGGCCAGGCTGAGAGACGGTTTCCAATAACCCTCGCTTGGCTCCCCAGACTTCCCAGGCAGACGGCTGACCTTGTGAGTTGTGTTGCTGTAAGGATTCTTTGGGGAGCAGACCCTGAAGAGGGGGGAACTTCTCTCTGGGAACTCTCAAGGAGAGCTCTGAACTTAGCTGACTGAGGCCACCCTGTGCCCCTGCCGTGCTGAGATCATGAGCTCCACTGTGTGTCCCCGACTCCGGGCCACTGTGCACGGCCCTCTCCTGGTCTCTCTCTCTCTCTCTCTCTCTCTGCTCCAAGATTCTCTGGGGCTCAGCCCCGTTGCCCCCCCCAGGCTCTCCCGACTCAAACACACCATGGGAGATGCTCCACTGACCGGTGTCCTTGGAGCCCAGCTGGGGCCCTGCTTGTCCCTGTTGGTCCCTTGGTCTCCTCCCTGGGGGACTCTGTCTGCTGACAAAATGGGAAACTTCTCCCACCTCCCAAAGACAGGAACTTCTAGCAAATCCCTGTTCATGGCCCGGGCCCATCTTGTGTGACAAAGCACAGAACCCAGGCCACCACCCCCCTGCTGCCCACTGCCCACACTCTCTGTCTCACCAGGGAGCACAATAGCCCAGAGGTGCCTTGATCTGCAAGGAGCCGTGACCCCAGCCAGGGGAGCACACATTCTTGAAGAAAGACCTGGGCCACTGAGACCTGTCCCAAAGCCCGTCACCTATGCCCTCCGCCCAGTGAAGCAGACCCAACAGATTGGGCACAGGTGGATGCCCCCGATAACGATGACGACTGGCATCCCCTTACCCTTCCTAAGATGGATCCTAGAGGAAACTTTTGAAAAGGCGGTTGATAATAAAATACCTGCGGCATCCACCTGAGGAAATCCCCTTTCCCCCGGGGCTGGGCCGTCTTCAGGCTCGAAGGCTGCTCTTATGAACTCTGCCCTCGGTGGGCTTCCTGSGCCCTCTCTCGATTCCCTGGGTGGGCCAACAAGAAGTCGCCCTTGTTTTCCATCCTGAGCGCYGACCATCCTGCTACTCACAGCTACTCCTCTCTTTACCCACTCCCTTGCTGAATATTTACATTGTTTCCAATGGTTTGCAACAGTTTTAAAGACAGTCACATGCCCGTAGCTACACTGTTTAATGCATCACTGATTTCCAGAAGATAAGCCCCTGAAAATCATCTACTGGGCAAAAGCACTGATACTGTTATCGCCTTTGACGTGTCCAGAGTCCTTTTGATTTGACACCTAGGCAGTCAGATCTACAYTTTCCCTTATGATTTCTGCACAGATGTCATGGTTAGAAGTCCTTCTCTGCTCCAAGGCCACCTAAATATCGATGGGTCTAAAACAGTTGGCAACCACGCCCTGTGCTGCCGAGCACAATGATGGGTGGTGGTCAGACCTGCTCACCTCTCAGGCTGGCACGGTCCTCCAGGGACACAAGGCAGGAGGGGGCACCCCCAAGGACACTTCAGTATCTCAGATGAGGAGTGGACCTGTGCGAGTTAGAGAGGGCAGCGTGGCGGGAGCTAGGCCAAGACAGAAGGGACRGTGTCTGCTCCACATCAGACCAGGGTGCCGTGGCTAAATGGGGCCGGAGGGAACTTGAGAAGCCCCTGCGTTGCTGGCCCTTCCCCCACCTGTTGGTTTGGTCACACTGGGGACTCCGGCAGCTAAAACCTTCTGAACAGCCTCAGAGGACYCGTTTCATCCTCCCAGTCATCAGGGATTCTGTGGAGGCAACCAAGTAGCAATTCCTATTCCTTCGTGTGCAGGGCTTGGTAAACAATCCCGCGCCGGGCAGA